TATTTAAAAATTCATAAAGTACCTTTTGTTCAGTTCATTGCAACCTTGAAATGCCTTCTGTTTCTTATGTATTAAAATTAATTTTTTCTCAATTTGTTCTTGGTATCCAAATTTTTGGTGTTTTGACTCTTCCATAAGTATTTTCTTTAATGTGTGTGTTGTGAAATTTAACAATCTGTGGCTTCAAGGTTTTGTATTATGCTAAGAATGACAGAGATTTTTGTAAAATTTCTTTCATAATTTTTCTGATACTTTTTATTGTTTTATGTGGGAGAGTACACATGCATTTTTAAAACACAGATTTGTAATTTACTTAAAGGTAAATAATGACAGAAATTTAACTTCCCTCCATTCAGGTGGATACCCAGTTGTCCCAATATGTATTGAATAATCCTTTTTCACTGGTTTCTGAGGCTGCTTTTATCTCTTCTTTATTTTCTTTATCTGTATCAGTTTGTGTGTGTCTGTTCCCATGAGCTTGTTTTCTAGTGGGAGAAAGACTAACAGTAATTAGGCTGTCACCCAAAACTAGAAGCATGATTGTTTGTTCCAGAAGAGAGTACCTGAGTGGTAATTATAGGAAAGATCAAATGAAGTCCTCAAGAAGGTAAGAAGGTATTGGGATCCAGATCTCAAAAGAGGGCCTTTCGGAGCAGAGACTCTTGTTGTAGCTAGTGGGAAGGTGGTAGGTGGGTGCAAGTGAGTCTGTAGATTCGCTGGTAGGAAGAAAAGATGAATCTCTCGTGACTTTAGTATTCTCATTGTTACTAGATGCTGAGAGCTGGGGAGGATAGGAAGGTTGTGAAATTTAAGGAAAGAAGAAAAGGTGGGAAATAGGCTTTCAGAGAACTGGACAACAAACTTAGTAAGTAGACACTAAATGATTACTAGACAGTACCGAGTGTCCATTTGAGATTTGTGTTTTTGAGTTTAAAGTTAAATTAGTAACATTACACTTATATATTTTCCTTTAGGCTTTTCCAGCTGTTTTGGTGACTTTACAAACTTTTTAATGCAAATATTCTGAAAATTTTTTAATAGAAATTTAATGTTTGCCTTTTCTATTAACATTAAATTTGTTTTGATAAACTTCTTCAAATTAAGTGGTAGTATTCCATCTTTGTGACTGGATGACATGGTTTTGATTTTTTAAGCTTTAAATCCCTTTTAAGTTTTTTCTACTCTTAATTCAAATTTAAGTTACTTTCTGTTGTACTTTACTTCCAAGACAGGGGTTTGAAAATCTTTAAAAATCTGCTATACAATTAGAATTATTAAAAATGAGCTTATACCTAAAGCTTAGGAACTACTTGCACATGTATTAAGTTAAAAAATGAAAACAAGTTAGTTGAATACTAATTAGGAATACGTTAGTTAATTAGTTGACTAGTTAAATATAGTTAATTAGGAGTGCTTATTATACTTGCAAGATCTTATAAAATAAATACTTCTTACAAGATAGCTATGTTATGTCATTTATCCTCAGCCCTTTAAAATGTTGGTTTGTTGGTTTTAACCTGAAGATTTAAATATCTGCTGTAAGTAACGGATACTTGAATTGCTGATTTATTAGCTAAAGGAAGCCACTGAGGATTTGTAAAAATCAGAGTAAATGTTTTCAGGGGTTTGCTCTTTTTCATTTTCTTCATTTATGAGAAAATTCTATGATGTATGATTATATGATAGCATATTTTGAAAGTTTTTAATGAAAATTTACTTAAAATATTCAGTATTATTAATATAGTTTGATACTTTTAATATTGTTCATATGATGTTATTAAATTTTATTTGTTACTGAGGAATAGGGATCTTTAGCCATAAATCATAATAAATGGAACATTTATGTTTATTTGTTTAGTAAACTTATCTAATAAGCTGTCTGAAGCTTTGAGGTTATAGAGGTTATAGTGTAGTCTATAGTCAAGAGAATAGATGATGCTACCAGCATCTAGGTGGTCTTCTAGGATTTTCACTGGGAGTAGGTTGTGAGGATACATGAGGAGGCACATTCAGCTTCCTCTCATGGCAGCAGCATTCATTTCCTCCAGGCCATGCTGAAAGTGAAAGGACAGATGGACGGTTCCTCTTCCCAGTTGAAATACATGTGACTTTGGTGATGGTGTTGTTAGGCACAGGCTTCCACGTCTTCCATCTGTTGGATTGCTTTTTCAGACTTAACTGTTTGGAGACACGATCAAATAATATGTCTTGTTAAGTCCAGTAAATTACTGTGTAGCATTATAATGGCATTTTGTAGGTTTTTGAATTACCAAAATAAAAACAACATTAAAGGTCTTAGTTTTTGTGAGTGTGTTATATTTGGTATGTGTGTGACGTGTGTGTATAGGGAGAAAGACAGAAAACTTAGATATTGCTTGAAATATTGTCAAGGTTTTCAAAGCAATTAAACTTACATTATATGCTTATGTTCCCATTGGGACATTTGTTTCTGTTGTTAGCTATTGTTCAGAATCTTTTTTTTAAAGAGCAAAACTCCTTTCGTTGTACTATCAAGCTAAGTCTGGTCCAGCACAGTGCCACTCTACTAGCCTGGTAAATTTTGTGTTAAACAGTAGGAATTTTACATATGAACATTATGTAACATGTTGAAAGCTTATGTCATATACCACTTATTTTCTGTTTCTATAATTGTGTTATAATGAATCATTAAGACAGAATTAAATGTTTAAGCAAAACATGTAGCCAGGGTGTATTGAATGCTTACGTATTAGAAGAATATCACTGACATCTTCTAAATTGTTTATACCAGAATGGTTTCTTATGTTAGTTTTCTTATGTGAATTTCTTTAAAAACCCTTAAGTTGATATTTATTTCTTAAATTAACTCATTTTCACCAACATATTTGACTTTTATGTTTGTATCTGAAGTACATAGAACAGTCATTTTGATGTCTCTATAATAAGAAAAAGAAATACAGTTTTTATTTGGAGTATATTAGAACAACAGAATTCCCAAGGACTGTTCTAGGCTTAATCTCTGAATTATTTGTTTTTGAAAGATAGTTTTTCAAGGATTTATTATCACATTAGCAGCACATACAGAGTACCTATGATGTGCCAAGCAGCTGTTACATGGAGTAAGGCTACAATGATAAGAGAACACTGTGTGCCCTTGTGAAGCTCCCAGTCTGGGAGAGTTAACAATACAGTGTGGCAAGTGCTCTGAAGAAAGTGTGCACAAAGATCTGTTGCTTAGGGATTTTTAGTTGGTTTTGTATTTTAAATCCATGTTGGGTTTAATTTTTCATTGGACCTAATTATGATGCATGAAAGGAAAATATCCACTATCTTTATATATTAGACATTAAACTTTAACAAAATAAGCATGTTTTCTTATGCTAATTTATCTGAGACACTAAATCTAATAAACCTTTTATTCTGAAGTGTAGTTTAGGACCTGAAATTAAAGAACCATTTATAAGTTTAGGTAAAGAGATACTGTTTCTGTGTATTTAAAATGTGTGAATTCTTATTTGTGGACATTGTCTTCTCTTTCCTAAGTGTTCTTAACCCCAAAGTTATATTTGCACATTAAAATGAATAGAATTTTAATCAGAGCTTCTCTTAAAGTTGAAATATATGAATTGTTGTTTTATGTTATTTCTTATCTTAAAATCCAAACTAAAATTCAACTTTGCCAATATTGTGCACTAATATTTAATCTCCTTTTGATATACTAGGCATTTTCTGTGAAATAAAATGAGTAAGAAAATGCAACCAGTATAATTTTATTATTTAAAAATTCATAAAGTACCTTTTGTTCAGTTCATTGCAACCTTGAAATGCCTTCTGTTTCTTATGTATTAAAATTAATTTTTTCTCAATTTGTTCTTGGTATCCAAATTTTTGGTGTTTTGACTCTTCCATAAGTATTTTCTTTAATGTGTGTGTTGTGAAATTTAACAATCTGTGGCTTCAAGGTTTTGTATTATGCTAAGAATGACAGAGATTTTTGTAAAATTTCTTTCATAATTTTTCTAATACTTTTTATTGTTTTATGTGGGAGAGTACACATGCATTTTTAAAACACAGATTTGTAATTTACTTAAAGGTAAATAATGACAGAAATTTAACTTCCCTCCATTCAGGTGGATACCCAGTTGTCCCAATATGTATTGAATAATCCTTTTTCACTGGTTTCTGAGGCTGCTTTTATCTCTTCTTTATTTTCTTTATCTGTATCAGTTTGTGTGTGTCTGTTCCCATGAGCTTGTTTTCTAGTGGGAGAAAGACTAACAGTAAGTAAGAAAATGGTAAGTAAAAGTAGGTTTTATAATGAGAATAAGCAGTGACGTGGTAGCCAATGCTAGAGAGGTACCTCAATTGAGCAGTTGAAACCACAGGCCTTTCTGAGACATGATGTTTATTCTGACCTGAGTATCAAGGAGGATGTAACTATTCAAAAATGTGGTGAAAGAACATTTCAGGTAGAGCAAATGGCCCCATGATGGAAATGATCTCCATGTGCCCCCAAGTGTACGAAGAAGAGTGGAAGTATAGTAAATGGGTGCTCCGAGTGGTCAGAGGTAACAGTCGGAAAAAAGCACCAAGGAGAAAGTGTACATCATATATTATGTAGGGAATGGTCTGTAGGCCACACAAGAGTTTGGATTTTATTGTTTGTGTGAAATGAAACTAATCAAGAGCAGTATGAAAAATTCAGATTGTCTGAGATGAATTTTTTGTGATTTTTTAGCAAGAAAGGAAATATAGGAGTATAGATCATTTGTATATCAACTAAATAGGTTCTTATGTAATTAGGAGTCATTTCTATACATATGTATGATCCTGTAACAGATTTTCTTCCCTTTTTAAATAATTTTATAGTTCAAGAAAGCAGATTTTTAGAATCATATAAGTATCAAGAGTTTAGAGCTCAAAGCATAAATAATCTACTTGTACTACTTAAAACTCTTTAAAGAACAATTTTGAGATACGTTTTAAAATATTTTTTTCTTCCCTTAAAATGTTTGCATTAGGGACCAGACGTCCTTGGAAGAGGGAGAAATTCCTTGGTTACAGTACAATGAAGTCAATGAAAGCAGCAGTGATGAGGGAAATGAGCCTGCCAATGAGTTTGCACAGCCAGAGGCTTTCATGTTGGATGGTAACAATAATCTTGAGGATGACTCCAGTGTGAGTGAAGACTTAGATGTGGACTGGAGGTACGCAGCACAGTGCTATTACCATGCTCAGTTGTTCATTGAGTAGAACTTGTTCATGATTCTAAATAAGGAAGACTGAATCTCTTATAGCTCAGAAGTATTCTGACTTTTTGCATCTATCATCCTCCTCTCCTTCAAAGCTCCTTTCAGATGTCACTTGCTGCATGGACTCCTTCCTACTTAGTCCAGTCAGTAACCACGTCCTTCTTTGACCTTTAGCTCTCTTGATGCTTATTACCTTATATTCTAGTTATTTATCTACTCGTGGGCTAAGGTTTCTGACTTTTAAATTTAGCTTTGTATGCTAAATGGAATATAGAATAATCCTTTTTAAAAAGATGCTTGATGAATACTACTTGAAGAACTTGTAATTAAATCAGAAGAATCATATGAATATAATTTTCCTTCCCTGTACGCAAAATATGGTAACTGTAATTGTACCTTACCAGAGATGTTTAAAGTATTAAATTTATACTGACAAAAAATAGTAAGCTTCAAATAAAAATAGCATATAAATTAAGCAAATTATAGAATTGTTACATCTTATAATGTAATGGTCAGAATTCATTTGTTTTATAAATATTTGCTTGTCTTTCAAATGTTGGACCCTTTCAAGGCAGCTAATTATTGAGATGGAGAAAGGATGTTTGTTCCAATTGATCCCTTTTTGTTCTGGAAAAAAATACAGCTTGTATTCGTCTCTGCAGATACATTTTTAAGAATTTGTCTTTTGTTTTTCCAGCTAAAATTCCATTCCAGAAAATTTAGAAAAAATAAGTCAAGAAAAACTTATTCATATTCTGTGGTAACTCTGCACCTTTTTAGAACTTAAGTTTTTAAAAGCATCCTTTGTCACTTTTGTTTTTCTTCTTTATGTGCAGTTACTTCTTTATCCTTCTCCAAATTGTTCCAGATACAAAAATCAGCATTTTGAAATCCTCCTTATCTTTCCTCTTCTTATTTCCCAGTAAAAAACAAAAATTGTGTGTGCAAAGCAGACTTTGCTGACCATTTTTACCATCTTGCAGAATTAGAAATGGAGCTTTTCACAGCCACACAGTTGGTAATTCCATCTTAAAATTCCTGTTCTCCAAAACCCATCTTTGGGCTCTCCAAACATTATTCAAAAATCAGTGGCTTTGCTTAGTCCTAGTCTTGCCGATCTTGGTGCTCCCTTCTTTTCCTCCCTCTCTTCTGTCTGCCTGTTACCCTCTTACTGAACTTGTTGATTCTGACATCTTCTCTTCTATTATGCAAAGTAAATCCTCAAAGTGCTGAGCAGATGACAGAATTGTCTGTTTAGCATTACCTATGCATGTTAGGAGGCAATTACGGTTTCATACGATGAAATTTTTCTTTTGCACATTTTCAGAATTTTATAAAAACAGTTTTTTATAGCTCCATTATGTAGATGCTCCATCCTATAGATGCACTAAAATTTAATTGATCATTTCCCTTTGAAATAATGCAGTGAACTTAATCCCCTCCCCCCCCTCATTAAACTTGTTCGATACTTCAGGTTAGTTCTTTAGGACAGATTAATAGAGGTGCATTACTGAGAAAAGTGCTGTCTTTTAAGATCTTGATAAATATTTCTAAATAACTTTCCAAAAAGCTTTGTTCCATGTGAAAATTTGAAGGAATAATTGATGTGTTTTAAATTTGAAAACTTTTATTGTAGCTTCTAATTCATTGATGATCTTTCTGAATATGGCTATTGTATTAAGATTTTAGAGGTATTGCTGATTCTCTCAAAATTTGAGGAACTTAAAAGTATTTTTTCATATGGAAATAATTTTAGAATTAATTTTAAGACGAAAGTTTTTAATTTTACTTAGATATGGCAGTACTTCCTTATTTGCTTATGTGGTATTAATATACATGTGGCAGTAGCTAAAAGGTTGATTAGGTGAAAATATGGTTTGATTTACATATTAAAATAGAATGTCACATTGATAAGTAAATGAAAAAGCCATAGCAAACAAGCAGTAGCAATTCTTTTCTTTAAAGCCAAATTTGACACTTTTTTCCCCAGTTCACCATTTAGGAAAAAAATAAGCTTTTTGTTTCTTTATTTTAGTTTAAAGGAAATAGAAAAAGTGCTCTATCAAAAGTTCATGTGTTGTGACAAAGTCACAGAAGTATTGCACAATACCCAGAGAGTATCTCGTAGATTGGTGTGATAGGAGTTGATGTGAAAACCTGGGTTTTAGATTTAGAAATAGCAACTATACCATGTATTTTTCCTTTGATAACTACCTTTGATAACCTCTTTATCTTCCTGTAAGAAATTGGGGTTATAATTATTAACTTAATAAAGCTGTGAGAAATTAGTTTTGTGTGGATATAACCATGGTTTAATAACAGGTTTGTTTAAACTATTTTGAAGTTATTTCAGACTTACAGAAAAGTCACAAAAATTGTACAAAGAATTTTCCATATTTCCTTCACCAGGATTCCCTAAATATTAACATTTACCACATTTGTGTTGTCATTCTCTCTCCTTTTTTTCTCTCTATTTATGGTATTTTTTTTCTGACCAATTTATGAGTAAGTTGTAAACATGATGCCTCTTTACCTGTAGTCTAGAATGAATTTCCTAAAAACAAGGACATTTTTAAATTTAACACAGTAAAATTGTCAAATCAGGATAGTAACACTGATACAGTACTATTTATCTAATCTACAGACCTTATTCAAATACCTATAATTGTCCCACTAATGCCATTAGAGAAACTTTTCTCTGGTCTAATCCAGGACCACTCATTATACTTTATTCTCTTTTTATCTGGAACATATCTTCAGTCTGTCTTTGTCTTTCTTAACCTTGACATTTTTTTAAAGTACAGGCAATTTGTTGTAGAATAACCCTTAGATTGGATTTGTCTGATATCATAAATAGATACAAGTTACAAATTTTTAGGAACACCATAGAAGTGATGTTTTGTTCTTCTCCGTTTAATCAGAAGGCACATGATGCCAAATTGTCCTGTTACCAGTGATGTTAATTCTCATCACTTGGTTAAGATGTTTTAAGATTTCTTCACTGTACAGTTGCTATTTTTTCCCTTTATAACTAATAGATGTTTAGTGGGAAGATACTTTGAGACTATGTAAATAACTTGTTTCTTAAAAAACTTCTATCAAGTAGTTTTAGAATATTAGTGATTCTTCTCTGAAGCAGTTACTACCATGGTAATTGCCAAATGAGTGATACTAGCTGATTTTTCTTCAGTGACTGAATCATAACCAGTATCATGCTTTGAGTGTTCAGATTTGTTCAGCCTAGAGAAAGAGAATTCTTGGGAAACAGTTGATTCTAACCATTTGAAGGGCATTTTATACAAAGAGAAAGTGGACATAGATTGTGATTGTGTGGTTTCAGCAGGCAGAACTAGAACACTTACTTCACCTAAGTTTCAAACTTTTAACAGGGCTGTCCTACACTGGCAATTACCACTTATTAGGCAGTATATTTTCTACATGGAGGGAGTAGTTCTATTGTTCTTGAAAGCCTGCTCTGGTGCCTTGTCTGTGCCAGGGATCTGTATACGCCTATTTAATTAATTTGTTTTATAGATGAAGAAACAGTTAAATAAATTCTTCATATTTTAACTATGACTCAGTTAAATGTGAAGTAAATCCGTGACATCAGGGCTTTTTATCTTTGCACTACATCTCAGTGCTAGATGAAGGAATTCTGTCATTGCAAGGGAGGTTAGATTCACTAATTCTCAGTTTTAATTCTAATTCTAAAATCTGTGATTGTATGAGAATGTCTGTTCCTTTGTACCATGGAGGTCTGCTGATTTCTAGATACTGCTGAGCTATAATATATTCTTCACAAGACTACTTCTTTATCTGTTAGCTATATATTTTGTCATTTTAACGATGGCACAAAAGTTGGCATCAAAATTGTTTTGAGCTAGCTTGTGTAACAGTGCATGTTTCTGGCCATGATAATCAAGTTCTGATAGGAACACAGAAGTTAACAGAAATTTGCCTGTAGGAAGACAAAATTAAGTCAGTTTTAGAGATCTTGGATATGAGGTGGTGGGAGTTCATTGAGGCAGAATGCCCCACAGAAAACTAAAAAGGTAGGTCAAGAGCTCAGGAATTAGGTAGAAGTTTAGGAATTACTACAGAGAAGATAATTGAAGAAATGGACTTTAATGTAATTTCAGGGAAGCAAGATTAAAAAGAAGAGGACTGAGGACATTACTATTTACCATTTCCAAATTTTGAAGTACTTAGTATTTCCAAGACTAGATGAAAAGGGGAATCTGTGTATATCTAGAATGAGATTAGGGCCAGATTAAGACAATGATTTTTTCAAGGGGTTTGCAGTCCTTTAGGAAAAATATAATAAAAATGAACAGTATGAGCTATTAAGTTTTCAAGCGAAATGATAATGAAAGTGGCCTATTTCTTAGAAGCAAAAAAGAGATTAATGAGAAAGACTTGAGAAAATAAAATATTTTTAAGCCCATAAAACCAAGGCTTTGAGTAATGATAGAATTAAAATAAATGCTATAATTCTCTTTATCATGTTCTCACCTAAATTTAGATAGAAAATTAAAATGGAAGGGGAACTTTAAGGGAAAGAACTAGGAGGGAAAACAACCTTTGTCCTGGCCATAGTAGTCCTGGCCAAAGTTAGAACTAGATACATGAAAAGAATTTTCCTACAGATTTTGTGCAGTACGTGTGGCAGCCTGTTGGGGAGGTGGTGGTACTTAATTCCTTATGCTTAGTGTTTAACTTTTCTGTCGGATTCTTTGAGCCCCTCACTACACAATATTAAAATGTTTTAAGGTTTTCCGTTTGTAGTATGTTTATGACTTATCAGTATGCTAATATAATTATGTCTTTACCATAAAGATTTCTCAAATTTTTTTTTCCCAGCCTGTTTGATGGTTTTGCTGATGGACTGGGAGTTGCTGAAGCTATTTCTTATGTGGATCCGCAGTTCCTCACCTACATGGCATTAGAAGAACGCTTAGCCCAGGCAATGGAGGTATTTTAGTGACTAATGCCCATGTAAAAGTTGCTGGGATGCAAAATGATAAAAATTAGAGGTTTGTTTTTTTTCTTAACTGCTCTTAGGAAAAGGTAAATAATTTTCTCGTAAATTTCATGACAGTTACAGAACAGTGATTGCCACCAGTCTATGTATATAAATTACACTTGACATCCTGTCAGTTCAACGAAAATTACAGTATTTCCCAGTTTTTCAGCATAATGGAAAATGTTTTGCTTACATTTAGGAAATACACTTTTCCTTTATTGAATTAATACAAGTCTGTACATCTGAATATTTTATGCACATATACAGGTGTGTTTGTGAAATGGAGTTGGAGATCTCTAAGGATATATTACAAATCACATCCCTTTTTTTGTTCTCATGACCTCTAAATATTCTCTCTCTGCTTAATGCAGTTAGAAAATTTACTTCCCCTCATCCCCACACACATACACACTTTAATAAATGTGGCACAGTTTATTGGTGCCTAAGTTTGCCTCGTTTTCTTTAACTTACTTGACTAAAATACAAATACTTTTTCATATTTGTTGCCTAAGAGCAAAAGCCCAAGCATTTGCACCTTTGGGAGCTTCCACTGTACTAGTGGATTAAATTGTAAGAAGTGTTTTCTTTAAGTCACTATTTCCAAAATGATTTCCAAAGTAGAGGAACAGTAATAATGTGAATGAGTCAAAAGTGAAAGAATAAAAAATGAATGTGAGAATTTTCAGGGATATTACAATAGCATTTTATCTTGAAGTTTTCTGAGATTAGAAAATTCATGGGTTCATAAATTAGGTGGTAGAGGTAGATAAATAGATGAACATATCTATTTACATGCACATGCATTTAAGTTAGCTCTCTGTTTTGGCATCACTGTGTGTGTGTGTGTGCGTGTGTGTGTGTGTGTGTGATGGAGATCATTTCTCTTAGTTTTGTGTGGTGTGTGTGTGTGTGTGTGTGTGTGTGTGTGTGTGTGTGTGTGTGTGTGATGGAGATCATTGCTCCTAGTTAGCTTTGTGGTGTGTGTGTGTGTGTGTGTGTGTGTGTGTGTGTGTGTGTGATGGAGATCATTGCTTCTAGTTAGCTTTGTGGTCTGTTTTTCTTAAAATGACCATAGCAGAACTACTGTGTACTAAGAGAAAAGTCAGAAAGAGCATCATGAGCCACGATGCACTTGAGACTTTTTGCAGATTATTTAACCTTCCTTGCCAAATTCTGACATATGAAATAATGGCACAGCATGATAACTTATATCTGAAATATAGTATGTAATGATTAAGGATCACTAACTTCCTTGAGCTAAAAAAATTTTTAGTGACCACAATGGAATACGTCCATTCTACAGTCTGGTTTCACAATGCTTAAGCAGTCTTCCATTATTATACTAGTGGTTTATAAGTCCCCTATAATAGGAAGGTATCCTAAAAAAGAAGTTTTACAAATTAAAACCTTTATTGTTACTAACAGGAAATGTAATGTTTGATTGGCATCTTGAAAGAAAAGCCAGAGAGATGGGTTATGAGAGGTCATACTAGGTAAAGGCACTAGCAGAGTGGATGAAAACAGGAGGCAAGAAAGAACCTAGTATGTCCAGGGAAACTCACAGTCCTCACATTGTTGGTCTTTGCTCCTAGGGAGCCCAGCGTCACTGCCAGATTTGGTTACTCTTCCCCATCTTTCTTTCTGCTCCTAATTAACGGCGGTGTGCCTCTGTCCGCACAGCTCTAACGGTCTCCTCAGCTTTAGTGCTCTGCTTTATTTGAATTTGGCTAAGACGTGTTTCAGCCCTAGAGAGTGACTACAGCTCCATCTTCCTGTCACTCCCTAGAAATGTTTATTTTTCTATGTGTAGTATGCTCTTTAATCATTTGAAGAACAAAGCTGAAATAGTTTATAATTTGTTATTTCCTTTTAGATTTAATACTCTTTAAGTGAAATAAAAATAAGACAAACTAGTGCTTTTATTTATTTTTTTTCTCTAACATCCCTATCTCCTTTTGGCAGTAGTTTTTTTCATTTCTGTTATTTTTCCAGTACTGGACTGATTTTTCAGGTGGTGTCTGTTGGTGAAAATATTGCAGTAAACATTTGATTCATATCTCTGACTCAGATTTGAGAGAGAATAGTGTGAAATATTAAGATGTTTAGCTTTTCATAATGGGTATTAAAGGTTTTTACTAACTTCTGAATAAATTTTGAAAAGAAAAATGCATCTCTTGCACATTTTTATGGTTTAAGCTAAAATTTTTTAGCTTAAATCCTAAGTAATACTATTTACCCTGTCATACCTCTTTGCAGTAAAAATAAGTTGAACAATTTAAGTGTAAAAACATTGGTTTAGATTGAGCTAAAAACATCAGTAGTATCTAATTGATCAAAACCATTTTGACAAATAATTAAATAAATTTTACTGGAAATGCATGTCTTAATGAGATAGAAGCTTTTTTTCTTTCCTCATTTTATGACTGAATTTTATTTCTAGAATGAAACATAGTCAAGTATATATTTTATTTGGTTTTTGTCTTTATAAATGTAAGTGTAAGAAACTTTGTACACATAAATAATAAGGATGGAAGGAGTTTATAATATTGCATTGTCACTCAATTCTTCTGATTTATTTGCCAAAATAACATCAACTTGACAAGGTGTTTAGATCCTCCTCCAATTTTTTTTTGGAAGCAAATGATTGGAAACCACCTATAAATCTTTGTTATTCAGTTATTAGAGTTTGTTCATATTGCTGCTTTGAACAGTAAGAAGTATGCTTCTATTTATAAAGTGGGGGAAAGGTTATTATAAAAAGGAATATGTAGGAACAAAGAACCAGTGTGGTACCTCGACAACCAAAGTGCTTTGTTAGATCAGCTTGAGAAAACATTAGGTAAGAAGGGTGACTGAAGTTGACTGTCTTAGGACTCTCCATGGCCTGGACCGCTGTGAAAGTCTTCCCATGTACCTCATATACACTGAGGTACAGGCCTTAGGAAGGTAGTACTTGAGGCAGGAGCTCAGGCTTTTGAGTTAGATTCATTTAGGCTGTGTGACCTTGGACAGTGCACTTAACGTCTGTGCTCCAGGTCCTCATCTACAAAGGAGGAATAATAAAATTTACCGCATGGGTAATTGTGAGTGTGTTAAAGCACTTGGCAGAATACCTGGTGTAGTGGTCAGCTCTCAGTAAATGGCTACGTTCACAGATACATTCAGATCAGCAGCCAGCCAGCTAGTAATCATCTAGCAAATGTAGATTCAGTGGTCATTCAAAATAAGTATTAAGTCATTTGTTAGAAATCTTCATTGTTTAAAAACTAAGTTCTGTTTTATTCTGCAGTAACTAAGTTTTGTACCGACAAAGAATTATGCTGCTTTAAACCTAGATCTATTTCAGTTGGGCTGTTTAGTTGTCTTTCTGACACTTGGACTAACTTTTGAAAATACACTGACTAAGATGTAGATAGATTTTTGTATTTTTATAGATTTTCATAGCAGTAGCTGTAAAATGGTCTCTTGGTCTTGTTGTTTATAAGTGATTCCAGATCACCTTAAATATATGTCAGTACAAAGACAATTATTACATATATGAAATTCCAGCTATTAGCACTATAAAATGCAGATAATCATCAGAAAAGAATAATGAACTCATTGATACAAATGTGTATCAAAGCATAGTTAGCCTAGAATAACCTCCCAAAAATGGAACTGACTATAACTAGTATCGTTCTTTTTGTTTATACCTAGCACAGGTGAGATCTTACAGTCCATCTTGAGAAATACACAGGGACTTGGAAGAGTCCCTAGGATTCTTGAGTATAGTTATGTGAGAAAGAAGAGACAAATAACAGGCTCTTTCCATTTCCTATCTCTTGATGGGAAAGTTTAATATAAAGGCTATCAACTACAACAGGATTAGAGTAACAAGGAGTTGCTTAGTAAAGAATAAAGATAACTCTAAAGAATACAGAAAAAGCACATATAAGGAACAGCTACACCAGCAGGGCTAAGGTCACCTAAGGAAGAGTCCCCACTCCATTGCAGGGCTGGGGTCCAGCCCCTGATGGAGATGGCACAGCTGTGGCTCACTGACTAAGAGATGTCACTGTGGTGCTGCACTGGCAGAATTTGCTGAAAATCTGACTTGTAGGCTGCTGGGGAAAGCTATTCATAGGCTGATGTCCCGCTGGAAGCACTCTGCTACAGAACTGTCCAAGGTGATGCTGGGGAAACTGAAGGGCCCCTGGGTGCTGCTGGCCTATGTGCATTGCAAAAGCTAGATGCTAGAGGAACTGGACACATGACAGGAGTCTGGTGCTAGAGAAAGCTAAACATGCCACAAAAGCCTGTCAAGCAGGCATACCAGATCAGAAGCAAAGCCCTTTTCCTTCTGCATTGTCTCTTCAGCATCCTCTGAACAAAGTTTAACATCATGACAGCCCACAAGGGAACATATTGGCCCAGATCCATTTTCCAAGGGCTGACAGAAACAGTGAATTTGGATCTGAGGAGTAATAATAGATAATTGGAGCAGGCCATTCCTTTGACCACTTGGATTCCATATACAGCTTTCTACACTCATTTGAACTCCCATCCAACAACAATGCAGCTATATTTCTACCGAACAATAAACAGCTATTCTTACAAACCAAGTTTTCACCCTTTCTCCAGAATGAACAGATGAACAGCCCCAAGATTCATGCCTATGTTTGGCTATACTAATTACTCCACAAATTCAGTCAGTCAACTTCAATACTCTCTTATGTAAAGATTAAACTGTAAACTTAACTGCTATAAAAATAAAAATGGGAAAGAGAAAGGAAAACTGGTTAGCAAATACAAATAAACATACCTACAACAAGCAGATAGAAAATATGCAAAGCTACTAGTCCTTTTTTCGTAGCTATGGCTTCCTTCTTCTATAACCCACTTCATATTTTCCCTGAATTTAGCAAGAATCTCAGCTGGTTGGGATTCTTCATGTGGTGAAGTGACCCAAGCCTACATTCCTGAAGAGCCTGTGTCTTTAGTCACCCTGCCTTTTTTGGCTGCTGTAATCTGGTAATTTAACGTTGGGCATAGCTGTACTAAGAGATATATATACTCCAAGTGAGATTGTCACAGGATTTTCAAGTAAAGGAAGCTGGTCTGTGGCAGGTCAGCTACCTCTACTGCTAAAAGGAGGCTCAGTAACTTGGAGATTCAAAGTAGTTTCATCTGAGATAAACCAAGTGTCCAATTCTAAGTTTTCACCATCCTGATTTAGCCAATCAATGACAGAACTTTCCAGAAACTTGACAAGACTAAGAATTAAACTCTCTTTTTAACTCAGCAATCTGCGTAACTAAATTTGTATGTTTGATTTTCAGAAGCAAGGTTTGTTTTTTTTTTATGGTTATCACGGATACTCTCTGGTTCTTACACTGCGCTTTGCTCTGAGGTCTGAGAGTTAATGAGCCTGAATTTGTCATTTTCTCTTTGTAAACTTGTAAAGGCACTCAAAAGAATCCATCCCACATTACAGTTTTTATAAGTCATTGTGACAGAACATCAAGTCTAGCAGCCACCTGAACTCCCAGGACAGGTATTTTAGTTGGCATTGATTGCAGTCAACCACAGTGATGTTTGACTAATTGTGATGACACTACAGTCCATGGATTGATAGCATCCTGTCCCTATCTGCACTATTGCAAGCCCAAGCCCAAAGGCCAACCAAAGCAATCCCCAAATCCGATTCTTGCTTCATAGGACTATGCCAGATACCAGTTCTGTATCAGTCTGGGCTCAGTCACATGAGAGAAAATAAATTGAACAGAGTAAGTTTAGTGTGAATAATTATTAACTACAATAGTAGGTTAGAGTAATGAGGGATTGGCTAGTAGGCAGTTAAAGTAAACTTTAAAGGATGTAGGAATGGCCTTAGGATTCAGAGACATACTCCATCTCTCCACCCCAGGGCCAAATACCAGACTGCACTGGGGAGGACCCAGCCATAGTTCTTATAAAAGTATTTGTGCTACTGGTGCTGGCAGAACTTGGTAAAAATCTGCACTCTGGAGTGCTGGGGAAACTTCACAGGGAGGTGGCTAACTGGGAGCACACTGCTACAGAACCACCCACGATGAGTGCCAGGGGAAGCTTCTGGCCATGTTATACTGCGGCAGTCAGAACCTGGAGAAACTGCATATGTTCCTGGAGCCAGGCACTAAAGAAGCTTCTCACACTGGAGGAGCCTGGTGCTGGAGAAGCTCCCAATAGGGAAGCCTCACCCACTGTAAGGGCCTGCCTAGCGCAAGAAGCAAAGTCCTTCCCTCTCCAGATCCCTCTAACAATAAAGGTCATGCTAGCTGACAGGAAAATATTTATTTTAAAAAGTCCAGATCTATTTTCACAGAGCAGAAATGGAAGATGAACTTGGAGATGAGAGGCAATAATTCAGTTACTGGTGTACTATCTTTCATTTTGCAATCTCTCTGCAAATCCAGATTCAAACTTAGTGTTCATTTTATTAACTATTAATTGTGATGAGTCCTCTTTGGGGTGTTACTCATTGCTTAACTGTCTAGACTGGATCCTGAGGAATATACAAAAGATGTTTGCCATCCAAGAGAACACAGTGTTAACTGTCAGGCAGAATGCTCCTCCTACTTGGAAGGCCTAGTTTTTTAACTTTTTGTTGTGGTAACAAACACATAATGTAAAATTTGCCATTCTAACCATTGTAAACAGTAACTCCCCAATCTGTCCTCTCCCCAGCCAAGGACAACTACCATTTTACTTTCTGTCTCTATGTTTTACTACTTTTGGTTCCTCATAGGAGTGAAATCGGAAGTACTTATTCTGCTGTGATTGGCTTATTACACTTAGCGTAATGCCTTTAAGGTTCGTTCATGCTGTAGCATGTGTCAGAATTTTCTTTTTAATGCTGAAATAATGTTGTTATGTATGTATCATTTTTTTTATCCTTATTGAGATATAAGTGACATAGAGCAATGTATAAATTTAAGTGTACAATGTGTTGATTTGATATACTTATTATGTACAGGGAAAGTATCATGGCAGCATTTCTTATGGTGAGAACAGTTGAGATTTACTCTGTAACTTTCAAGTATGTAATGCAATGTTGTTAACTGTAATCATCATGCTGTAGGTTAGTTTTGCAGTTTATTTATCCTATAACTGGAAGTTTGTATCCTTTGACCAACATCTCCCCAATTCCTCCACCTCTCAGCCTCTAGCAACCAAAATCCTACTCTCTATTTCTTTGTGGTCAGCTTTTTTAGATTCCACGTAAAATTAAATCATATATTATTTCTGTTCTTTGTCTTCTCTTAGCAGGCAGGATTTCCTTATTTCTCGTAGCCAGATAATATTCTGTTGTGTATATTCACATCTTCTTTGCCCATTTGTTTGTCAGTGGACACTTAGGTTGTTTCCCTAGCTTGACTAGGGAGTGCAGATCTCTCTTCAAGATCCTGCTTTCATTTCCTTTAGATATATACTCAGAAGTAGGATTATTGGATCATATCATAGTTTTATTTTTAATTCTCCGAGAAACCTCCATGCTGCTTTCTATAGTGGCTGCACCAGTTTACATTCCAACAGTGCACAAGGGTTCCCTTATCTCCAGCTTCCCCAACCCTTGTTATTTCTTGTCTTTTTTATGATAGCCATTCTAACAGATGTGAAGTTGTATTTGTGGTTTTGATTTGCATTTCCCTGATGATTAGTGATTTATTTCTATTCTGATCTTTCTTATTTCCTCCCACCTGATAACTTTTGGCTTAGCTTTCTTTAGTTCCTTGAGTTATAAAGTTAGATTGTTTGAGATCTTTCTTTTTTTGTAATGTAGGCATTTATTGCCATAAACTTCCCTCTTAGAACTGCTTTTGCTTCATCCCATAAGTGTTGGCATTTTCATTTCCATTTTTGTTTGTTTCAAGATACCTTTTGACTTACTCTTTGACTCTTTGATTTTTCAGGAGTATGTTATTTTCCCCATACTTATGAATTTTCCAGTTTTCTGCCTGGTCTTGATTTTTAGTTTCTTGCCATTTTGGTCAGGAAAGATCGTTGGTATGATTTCAGTCTTCTTAAATTTGCTTAGACTTGTTTAATGATCTATAATTTCATCTCCCTGGAGAATTTTCCTGTGCCCTTGAGAAAAATATGTGTGCTGCTGTTATATGGAATGTTCTGTGCACGCCTGTTAGGTCCCTTTAAAGTATAGTTCAAGTCGAATGTCTGCTTTTTGATTTTCTGTCTGGATAATCTATCCATTCTTGAAAGTGAGGTATTGAAGTCCCCTACTATTATTATATTGTTGTTTAATCAAACTTCAGATCTGTTTTTATTTGCTTAATATACTTAGATGCTCTGATGGTTGGTGTTTATTTATTTTTGATTTTTATATCCTCTTAGTGAATTGATCCTTTATCATTATATAATAACCTTTTTACTCATTACCACTGCTGGCTTAAAGTCTATTTTATGTAATACAAGATAGCTAGCCCTGCTGTTCTTCATTTTCTTTTGCATGAAGTATCTTTTTCCATTCCTTACATTTGAGCTCTTATGTATCGTTGCAGCTGATAAGAGTCTCTAATGGACAACATAGAGTTTGGTTCCTATTTTTTTACACATCCAACAACTGTATTTTGATTGGGGAATTTAATCTACTTAATGTTTACAGCAATTATTGATAGATAATGACTTACTAATGCCATTTTATAAATTATTGTCCAGCTGTTTGGTAGTTCCCTTGTTTTTTTCTCCCTCCCTTGCAACTTGATTTTCTGCAGTGGTATTCTTTGATTTCTTCCTTTTTAATCTTTTGTGAATCTAATGTAGATTTTTGCTTTATAATTATGATGAGGCTTATATAAACAGGTATTCTATGCTAATAACTTTGATATACAAAAATGCTTACCTTTTTAGTTTTGCCCTTTTATGTTTTTAATGTGACAATTTACCTCTTTTTGTATTCATATTCATTAATAAATTATTGTGGCTACAGTTATTTTTAATACTCATCTCCTTTAACCTTTATACTTGAAAAAGTGGTTAACATAGCACCTTATTACAGTATCAGAGTATTCTGAATTTGGTTATATATTTATCAGCCACATTTTGTTTATCCATTCATCTGTTGATGGATATGTATGTTGATTACATCTTTAGTGTCTTGTGAATAGAAGTCCTGCCTGTGGTTCTAATCTAATTGTACCCAGAAGGGCTAATCAAGCTACAAAAGGATGAGGGTGACTCAGACTAGATGGTCATATTACCTTATGTTCTTTCCATCCTTGTTTCAATAGTAACTTTATACAAACATTTGAACCTGTAAGTAAAGTCCACAGTCCAGATAATCTAGTAGTGTCAGTGTGCTGACTCTTAAGTCAGTAGTAAATGTAGCCATTCAGGAATGCATTACTTGCTTACATACCTTGAACATCTAGTAATCTTCGTCACATTTTGTTTCATGAGTTGAACCTGTGCAAAGTATTTTCTTTTCTTTTCTTTTTTAATTTAGGAGAGCAAGGCAGAGGCTTTTATTTAGAGAGAAAGCAAGAGGACAGAGCTCCTGGCTCAGGCCAAGAGGGGACAAGAGAGCCCCCAAAGTGCTTTCTTTTCTGAAAGTTGGTAGAGCTAACCACTCTTCTGAAAATATAAATATGACAGATAAGTAGATAGTTATTGAGACAAGATATATTTTTGTTGCACTTGTGAAAAGTAAGGCTTTTTTTTTTTTTTTTTTTTTTTTTTGGTAGCGGTGATGGTCCCTGTTGGAAGGAGATAAAAAAGAGAGGGGGCTGAAACAAAGGAAACTAACAGGAGAGAATAATGGTATCTTACAAATAAGACACCTTAAAAATAGTTTTTTATTATTGAGGTGTTTTCTAACAAGGAGCTGTGACTTCTTTTTTTAGACTGCCCTGGCACATTTAGAGTCTCTTGCAGTGGATGTCGAGGTGGCCAATCCACCAGCCAGTAAGGAAAGTATTGATGGTCTTCCAGAGACCCTTGTGCTTGAAGATCACACTGGTAAGGACATATTTGATCTCTAAAACATGACATATGATTTGTTTAAGTATATAATTAGTGCACGTAGAATATAAAATACTGACTCTTAGAAACTTTCATCAGATTTTCTGTGAAACCAGATTCTGACACCTAATAGAAGAATATTTTTAATTTATCAAGTGATAAGGTGGGACAAATGTTCCTAAGTCCACTGTATTACAAAGCAGTGTTTATTAAATCCTGTCATGTATTAGACAGAAATATGTTCACCAGTTAATCAGGGTCTGGTTCTTTTGTCTTTCATAGGTGTCATCTATGAGTCAATATGTTGATTTGCAGTATTATCAAAATTGAACTTGTGGGATTGATCAAATTATTTGTTGTTTTCAGCTATTGGTCAGGAGCAATGCTGTCCAATCTGTTGCAGTGAGTATATTAAGGATGATATAGCGACAGAGTTACCCTGCCACCATTTCTTTCACAAACCTTGTGTCTCAATTTGGCTACAGAAGGTGAGTTTTAGATTTACTTTTTTTAAAATTAATATTTTAATAGTTTTTCCTACAAATTGATGATAGTAATATCTTTTGAATCTATTTTTTTAGCTACATAGTTGTAGTACTTTATAATTCAGCATTAGAAGTTGGTGACCTTTTAATAATTATAGATTAATGATAATATCAAACTATTTTACTTTACTAATATTGACTAAAAAACAATATAGACAGCACTAACTACTTGACATTTAATCATTTCAAAAAATGATGAAATCATTTTAGAATAAAGCTAATTATATCTTTAATCATACTCCATACAGATATTCTGCTGAAATGGATTGGTGTCTCTGAAAATATATGAAAAATATTTAATAACCTTTCAAGTACCTCCTATTCAGACTTTATATACTATTCTTAAATACTTACCTAATAATTTTTAACTATATTTGAACTACTTAAGAAGAAAAAGTTTTATTTATATCTTCTCTGTGAATTCTGTTTTTACCTAAAGGATATTTACATGTAGTTTAGCAGAAATTCCCAGATCACTTTCTCAGCTCATTATTTACCTATGGTTGGAGCCCCCTCTCTTCACCACAACCACTCCTTCCCTTTTGCCTCCCCGCCCTCCGTCCTTTTCTCTCCTTGCTCTTCCTTTGCTATTGCTCTCCTTCTACTGCCTCTTCATCTTTGCCATCTTTGTCAAAACTCCACTTAAAATTTCTAAAATCCAATGCAGAAATGTTCACTATTCACTATTCCTCTATAAAAACTAGTTTCTGTCTTGGCTTTCCAGGCCTGCTGTGATCTAGCCCCCAGCCTGTCTATGCATATTTGCTCCTGTGTATATTAGCTCATGTTTGCTTAGCCTGCTGTGGTCTTCCTGTAGACCGCCTGTAAGAGTAGATGATCTAGGTAGGTCCAGTTTAAATTCCATTTTTTATATCCTTAATACTTCCTTTCCTTAAACTCCCACAGTAGTATTTGTGCCATAAGAAGAATCCAGTGTCTGTGTGCCTGCTTTGGCAGGTGACTCATGTGTTTTCCTATTTAATTCTCACAGTAACTCTGGGATATCCTGGTATCCTTATTCCCATTTTCCAGTGATTGTGACTTGTCCAAGATTACACAGCTAGTATGTGATTGGGCAAGACCACACTCATCTATCTGACTCTAAAATGTTGTTCTTAGGGCCCAGGCTGCATGGCAAGTGTGCAATAAATGCTTTCTGAATTAAATTCTTCAATTATAAACATAACTGTATACCTTGTATTATCATTGACTTTGCTATAACTCATGATCTCCTTAGTCTCCTGTTACAAAACAGCTTAGTGTGAAGCCTTTCCTCTAGAGAGAAGGTTCCCAAGATACAAATCTTCATCCTTCAGCAGCATAATTTCTTCACCCTGATTTTTAACAGGGAGATTTCTTTGGGGAAAAAAAACATATGCAAGGAGATACGCTATCACCAGATGACACCTCTATAATTTTCCATTGGTCCTAAAATATACTCCCAGTTTGCTTTCCCTGTCCTGCTTTCTCTATCCCACTTTCCCTCCTAGGCCTTCAGTTGATTTATGATTTAGAGGGCATATAACTCTCCATATCTTTGTTTTTTCTTTCTTCATTATTTTCCCATATCTTTTTTAAAAGGAATAATATGGCTAATAAAGAAGATCTGAAGTCCGTCTCTTTGACATACCTGTGCTACACTGGAATGACTCTTTTAGTATACATAAGGGAGGTCCTAGTGGGATGATTCAGTGTAATACATAACATGAATTAATTAGGACTGTGGTTTCTCTAATACAGGCAACAAATATAAAATAATGACAGTAATTCAGTTCTAGTGAGGACATGCCCTGTAATTCCATGCTAACCCTCTGTCGCAGGACCAGTGCAGAATGAGAAATGTAGAAGACTCTCAGTTAATACTCGGTAAGATGAAATGATGAAATGAATGCCCTAAAAGATACAAACATGATTAAGAGACACTGTTTACCTTTGAAGAAATGAAAGTCTGACTGGGATGAAAAGGAAATAGCATCATAATTTTGCCTCTGTGTTGTGTGGGTTTGAAGTTTATTTGGTTTTTGTTTTAGGTTACTTGATTTGTGTTTAGGATAATGATACTGTCTTTTCTTATTAAGATATGTGTAATAGTTAAGGCCTTCCATTGGCTATGAGCTTGCTTTATTTCTCCCTCCAGTCAGGGACATGCCCTGTGTGCCGCCGTCATTTCCCACCTGCAGTGATTGACGCGTCTCCAGCTGCCGCCTCCGAGCCTGAACGCAATGCCCCACCTGCCAGCGACAGCACTGCAGAAGCCCCCTAAACCTCAGCACTTGAATGAGATCAGTCTGTCCAAGTAAATCTGCAAATTCCTTCTAAATCTGAGTGCAAATAATTATATATACATATATTAAAAATGCTATATAGAGTCTATGCCATTGTTTAGAAAGAGAATATTAACCTTTCTAAACTAAACTTAGGTTTGCAGAAACTACTAAACATTTTCAAGCTGAATGTTGAAGCAGTGCATCCATTTTCTTTAGTTGAATATGTTGATATTAACTGTAAAGTCAAGCTTACCAACTAACTCTACAGAGGAAATGATCATCTATGGTGGCACACTTTACTAGTTTTGTCTGAAGTACTGCCACTAAGTGATTATGATTAGACCATCCTATTTGCATCATATGTGAAGACTGTGACCACAATAGTGGTAAAGTTTGGTTTTATTGGAAATAAAAATAATTCTAAAGCATGCTTTTTCATTGATTGATCCCTTTGCTACATCAGAACCTGTTGGTTCATAATAACTGAATTTTTTTTTTTTTTAGAAAGGTGTCTATTCCTTCATCTTTATTTAAAGTTAGGACTTTTTAGAATACCAGACAAAGGCTAAAATTTTTTGCTAGAACATCACAAAATTTTTAAATCTAAACTTAATCCCCTTGAAATAGGTAATAAAATAAATTATTATTTTTAATGGTGTATGTACTTTAAGTTAGTAAGGCATTTGGATGCTTTACTATGGCTGGTGCTTAAGGTAAGGTTGGTAAAGAATATGAACAGTCTAGTGCTCAGAGTTTGGTACAAAGAGATGAAGTAGATGGCCTTATGAAATCCTTTCTATTGGTCAAGATTATACGTGAAGATCCAGAAAACTCATGGCACATTTGTTTAATATATATTGGAAATAGGTAGTTTAAGGTAATTTTGGTTCTAAAATATTTTGGAAAGTCTGAAAAAATGCATAAATTATTTAAATGCTCATTCTGTTGTATCCCAAAGGAAAATCTGATCCTTAAAAATACTAGAAGTTTAATTGTACTAATTTATATAAAGCATAAAATTGATGAGGGCATAGGACAGATTTGGCCATATTTTTTAAAACATATCTAAACCTTACTATGCCATGTTTATTCCTTTAAAGTATTCCTGAACAAGTATTGTTCATACTACATTTTCAGTAATTTGTTTCTTTACACTAATTTATTGTGGTAAAATTATTCAGCTGGAACTAAAATAGGAACAGGTAGTTTCAAATTAAGCCATGGTAAGAAGGGAGTAAGTAGATTGTATGATTGCCTACGGACTGTGTGACTAGAACTGAACATGTAACACAGTTCCTTTCTTATTTTCCTTTCTCAAAGAGAAAAAGAGAAAAAGAGATCCTGACCTTGGATTTACCCTGTAAAAGTTCTCTCCACAAGCTTCTACATAAGTGAGAAAAATCAGCTTTCTTTAATCTTTATAGGAAATTTGACCCCTGGGTCATCTCTGTAATTACATAACCCCAAACTAAAATTGTACAGCTTTCCATTTAGGTAATCATACCCAGTAGGCAAGTATGCTCAAACATGGGCATAATAATTTAATTTACCGATGTGATTTGATATCAACACCAGAGAATGATGGGTATTAGAATACCACATATGAGCAAGTTAAATAGTAAAACACATAGTAAATGTACATACATCCAAGTAGTACATTGATAATTTAGTTTGGACACATAAAAGGAATATTTATATGGCTTCCCAAATATAAAACTACATTTTATTTGTGTAATTTCTCAGTGTTTATATTCCATCTCTTTTCTTCATTAAGAATAAGTGAATTTTCACTGTTGGCACATTTGAGGCTTTAATATAAGCAACATAACACTTGCATTCTAGTTTTTGCATATATTGTAAATGTGTCTGGTATTTACAGCAAAATACTGTGTATCATTTTATGGGTAAAACAAAACTAAACATTGCATGCATGTAATGTGGTGACTTTGTAATTTACAGGATCTTTGGGGCTTCTGTGACTTTGGAAATGCTTACAATCAGGCCTTAATGTTGCATTAGCTGGCATGTTTTCCTTCTGATGTATATAGTCACTGTTCTATAAACTAATTTGCTTGTTTTCTACACTGTGATCTTTCCATACTATATTTCATTGATGATCAGTTAGAGTCAAGGAGTCAAATCAGATTAAAATTTTCATGTGTATATTGTGAAATTTGTGGCTAGTGTGATATTTTTGTTTTTGTTTCTGGAAATTTGTGACTATTGTGATTTTGTTGTTGTTTGTTTCCTTTAAATAATATTGATCAGTTGTGACACTTAGTGGTTAAACTGATATTGCTACAGATTTCTCTGTAGTAAGCCACATTATATTTAGGCAGGATTAAGGGACCTTGGTTTTCTTCTAGATAGCAGCTGTCCCAAAGAAAATATTCTTTTTTGCCTGTTAAGATTTAACTATTATCTGCCAGTTGTTAAGAGGTTTTGGTTCCAAACTCAACGAGCAGTGTTGAGAGCTGAAGTTAAGATAGCTGTTGTACTTTTTGCTTTCCATCTGTTTCTGTCCTTCATTCTTGGCTCCCTATTATCTATAAACAGCTGCTATGAAGGAGAAAAAGTTGAATAAGAATTGGCTAAAACATTTTTTTTTAAAGAAGATTGATATTTTAAGATTTTCATTTTAACAAGCTGGTAGAAGCTGAGGCTGACAAGTTCAGATACCAAAATATTGTTTGAATCTTTGAAATATTGTTTGGATCCTTTTGAAGAAGGTATTAGTAATAAGAATAAATATTGATGAAAATACTGTTTCTCTTATTTCTCTGTGTTAAGTGATTTGACCTAATAATTTTATTTTTTTTAAACATTTTCTTCTTTCATGTAATATGAATGCCAATATTTAAAGGTAGATCTATGTGGTTTCTTTTGTGTTTCCTGTTTATCGCTAAGCTATTAACTCTCAAGGTTATTTGTGATTTGGATTTACATATAAGCTGTTAAACATATATGAACTGTTAAATGGAATGGAAGTTTTCAAAAGCCCAGGTCTAAATATAATGATTGGTTTATTGTTCTACAAGCCCAGTCCATCTTTTTCCGTGTAAATCATAAACAATAAACAGGATATACTCAGTGGTCATTTCTAATATTTAATTGTGCAGTCATTTCACTTTTATACTGTAACTGGTGGAGGATTTAGCATTCCTGACAGAGAACACGGTTATGAAGGACATCTGGAATAGGCTCCTGAGCACGTCTTTACAGTCCGTGAACTGTGATCTAAGTTCCTAGGGAGGGCCCTCACAGGGAGCCCAGCTGTACAGAAGTAGTTGAGGAACTCCTTCTGGAAGGGCTCTGAAGGAGTCCCTGCCTTCTCCTGCCTGTATTTAGCAGAGCCTGATTTCCACACTGACTCAGGACTGCAGAAACTGTCAGAGGTCCAGGACTAAAGCCTGACTCTCTTCAGTAGCTTCCTCCAAGTCAGGCATGGGAGTATTATCAAGCTGATTAGGAAGATTCCTCACGGCTTCCAAGAGGTTCAAAGACCTCACCCATTTCAGAAGGTAAATTGAATGCTGATAGATTATATCCACATTATATTGGAAAGAAAATGAATTGTTTTGTTAAGCATTAGAAAGCTTAGAATTCTGATTCTTCCTTAATAGAATAAATGTGGTAGAAAAAAATAAGAGCTGGAAAGAGCAATGATACACCTCTGAGGTAATGCCAAAATCCTGTTATAACTGTGTCATATGATTTTCACACAGCCACTGTTTCCAGAGTTGGAGCCTCTCAGCACCCCTACAGGGAATGGATTTCATTGTGATAAGAGAGTCACCCAAATGTTCTGTAAGTAGCACACTCATGAAACTAGGCAGAAAGGTCCTGTCTCTTCTGTGTGGCCAGCTGTTCATATCTTCCCTCAGGTTTCATTGCTTTCTTAGATCATACATGGTATCAACTCCAGACCAACCTGGCACTGGCTCTTTCAATCCTTCTCTTAAAATGTTTCTCATAACTCAACCCAATTCTTTTGTAGTCTGATGAGAGCAGGGTACAGAGGCACTATTGCCAACTTTCAAAATAATTCTCATGTGACTCTTAGGGACTGGTATATGTCGATATTATTATTATTGTTACCATCATTAGGCAAGTGTATCACATTGTTGTCTTTCGCTGAACTTTATAGGCATTGCTGATAAGCCATAGCCACTCCTAATAATTACGTACACAATTTCTTCGTAACCTAATTGAGGGACTACATTCATCCTTACTAAATTTCACTGAGGTAAAGGTCCTTATGAATTCTGATTCTTTCTCTTAGCCTTTTGATGAAGCAGGCCTTTGGTAGTTAGTGGCTTGGTCCAAATTACTGGTAAATATTGACTAGAACAGGATGCAATACAGACCCTCTTCAGAATGCTGCTTTGGACTGCCCCCCTGGGTGACTTTGATCCATTAATCAGCACGCGGGTGTAGTTGGGGAAGCAGCTACCAGTCAGTCGGGTGCTCCTGTGTCTTCATCTATCCTACAAGGTCACCATCAGAAATCTTGTTATGTTTGGCCAACAGATTGCACTGCCTATGGAAATAGCCTAATCTGCTAATATTATTAAAGCAAGAAAGGAAATGAAGTTAGCTAGAATTGCCTCGTTCTTAGGGAAACCATACTACCTCCTTTTCCAACTGCTCATATGCCATCTTTTTATTAATCTGCCTTAGGATTTGATAAGTGATCAATGTCAAGCTCATTTTTATAATTTTTGGGATCTAATTTTTTTCCCTCTCAGATTGTAATGTTTCAAGTAACATTACCTTGACAAGTCACTTAAATCACTTTGCTATGTTCCTATAAAGTAATCTAAATTATAGGTTCAGTACTACTGTTTGTGCATTGATAAATGTTTGAAAAAAAATGTTTCTTGTTATGTGCAAAGTTATGGGGAAATATGGTTGCTTTCCATCATTGCTTGATTTTATACTACCTTTTAGGACTGACACACATTCAAATGAAAATCTTAGAAGTGTTTTAATCTCCTCAGGAGGTGAAAGAATGTGATGGGAACTTTTATTAACTCAAATAAAATTGAATTAATACTACTTTTACTACAAGGTTGTATGCCTGGATGTGGCACTTTATTCCATCTTGTAGTCTTTGTTTATAATCAGCATACAGTTTTTGTAGTAAATATTAGAGTGGGGAGGTTTTTATCTTTTTAGAAAGATACTACCTCTTAGCCATTCACTGTCAGGAAGGAAAATTTTGCAAGCCACTGTGATTTCTTTTCCTTCGATTATCACACAGAATTTCTTCTTAATAAGATTCATTAAAAAATGCATTTGTACATTATGAAAATCGTTCCATTTCTGAAGCATAAATATTAGACATGGTAGGTAGGCTCTGTTTAGCTAATTTTCATAATGAATCCATAGGGTAGGTTGTTTTGTCCTAACTTTACTAAAAAAAATTGAGTCCTGGTTCTTAAGAGTCTGGGTTCTTTCTAGTTCATGTCTTGGGTAGGAGCAACCTATCTCATCAACTTTTAATATTTAAGTAAGTTGTTTGAAATGCAGTTTGTTTTAAAAATGAAAAAAAAAGTTGAGGGCGGGGGGTATCCAAAATTCTGAAAAATACTTTGTTTTTTCTTCCCATATTATTTTGCTAAATAGACATTTCTGCCTTGGAATGTATTGCTAACCAGAGTTCTAGTGTCCTGGTTGGTGAAGTTTCTTATCAAGCTTTAAGGGCTGATGAGAACTTCCTACCTTTGCCTGATGTTTCAGGATCCTTAACTTACTCTGCAGAGACCCTTTCTGGACTGAAAGGTGTGTGACATCCTGTTGTCCCCTCACCAGAGAGACCTCACTAATGCAGACTCCTGTGTATAAGCCATAGCCTTCCCCTTTTAAAAAATCTCTGGGTTTCTTCCTTAAGAAGTCATGGACATTTGCTCTCACAATTAGATTCACTTCAAGAGTGTAGAATTACCCCCAAATTGTTGCAACAGGAATAGACATTTGACAGAGGTTTTCCTTTTGATTTTAATCCTTAAATGCTATTTTAAAGTATTCCCAGGCATTTAATCTATGCCTTAGTTCTATTTGTCTGTTTTATTCCCATTTTCTTGTTAAAAAAAATCCAAGTGTTACTACTACTATAAGGGGCTTCACTATAATATACCATCCTACTGACTGGCCTTTGGCCTCAACAAATACTTCCTTCCTTTGACCTGGACCAAGACCCCTTCAACCCTGATATTGCAGTACCCTAGGTTTGGTGCCATTACACAATTTCAGTGTTTTTATTTTAGTTTAAATCACATTTGTGAAGATGAAGACAGGGATAGGGAGCTTACAAGCTCAGCCTTTTCTGGAAAGCAAGCTCTAGGATGACGAAGCACTAGTGAGCACCTTGGTTACGGCTCACATCTAAATGAGTAAATGACTTCTGACAAAAGATGTTTAAAGTTCTTTAAAAATTAGTGCACTTACAAAAATAATATATTAGGCTGTTTATGTCTGGCATTATCTCTGAATTTTCTGAAAAAATGTCTTCATCAAACCCAACAAATTACCTGTTTGCATATCCTAAGCTGCTGTTTGTTTAGCATGTTAACCAAGCACTGCTCCAGTATACCTGTAAACAAGGCAGCCGCCCTCCCTGGCCTCCCAGAGTGCCCACTGTAGTGAGGGAACTGTTAGGTCTGTGCCCCCGGAGCAGCTGGATTCACCGAATGGAAGGGTTTCATCTTGGCCTGGGGAGGGCGGGCTCACAGGGCCTTTGGAGGCCTTCTATAGGCACCCAAGCTAGAAACATCCAGAGCTGGGAGAACGAGGGACACATGCTGAGCCTCCAAGGGGACTTGCCTTCCTGAAGCACTCTGTGTTCTTGGGGCGTCGTTGTAAGTTTTCATCCTCATCTGCAACCCTCACCAAACATGGGCACCCTTTATAACATAGCACCAGCCATTACTGGAGAGGATTTGAGTGAGTCTTAGTTTAAGTAAACTCTTTGGTTATAAAGAATAAAAGAGGCACAGAAAGATGTTATAGGACAATGAATGTAAATTAGCTAATATTTATTGAGCACATCCTATATGCCAGAAACTGTTATAGGTAGTTTCATATGCATTACCTTGGTTAATCCTAACAAAAATTCTTAAAGGTTGACTATTCTAATTTCTAAAAGGCATGAAAAGTAGTTGCCAAGGGCCACATAGCTGGTAAATAAAGGAGTCAGGATTCCAGTCCAGTGCTCTTAAATGCTGTGTGATAATACCTCCTGCCTAGGTAACACTCAAAAGGAAGAATAAGAAGTAAATTTCAGCCGCAGTACTACATTCTTGCATACTAACCTGCAAGTTCAGTAGCCCTTTATAATGGAGCCCATTTCAATGGAGATGAAAACACTAAATATTTAGACCAAAACTACTCAGAAGTTGGTCATTATCTGTATTAATCAGAGAATAAGCCCAAAGAGCTTCAGGAGAGGAGCCTAAACATTAAATTGACTTATTCTACTTGGAAAAAATGACTCAGCAGATGTAGGAGTCTGTTACTCTCAGGTCCACTGCAGAGAGAATTCTGCCTTCACCCTTTTTCTCTTGTCAATTCCTGTGGTACCCACAGTGCCAGTGACCAGTATCCACATATCTAAATAAGGAACAATGTTGTCCAAGGAAGCCTGTTGTATTTCTACAGACTGGTAAGGCCTGGGTAGAAAGCAAGTTGTGACTGAATAGTGGTAAATGTCAAGTCCCTACTGTTACACTAAATCCATGCTGCATGGTCTCATTGGGCCCTAATTGGTCTGTGTCCCAGAGAGCTAATCCTTTTGGTTACTGAATACCCCTATCATCATCCACAGTAACAGCACAGGAGGCTAGGAGACATTGCCAAAGCAACTCGGTGGAAAGGAAGGTGCTTGTCTATTTGTAGGAGGAGGCAGTGGCCTCCTATGATCACACAGCCAGAAAGTGTTTGGGGCTAAGACTTGAATTTAGGTCTTCTGACTACAAACACAGTTTTTCCACTATACCAAAAGCTATTTCTCTGCTTTCTTGCCCAGTGTAATACTCTGGTGAGTCAGAACAGCAGCTAAGGTTAGATCAGAAATAGGTTTATTTACCTGTAAACCTGCTTTTTACA